CGACTTTCACCGGTGAATGTCAACATTCACATAGTCGCTTGGTGTATGTCCGAAATATTTTCCAAATACTCTTATTTCTGACACCGGTCAATGTCGACATTCACCATGTACTAATGGTGAATGGTGAACATATAAGAACATATAAGAATATTATATTTTCTTCTCCGTAATTCAGTCGCGAAACAACGCACTTGAAACTTAAAATAAGAACTTAAGAACATAAGAACTTAAAACACATAGTACATTCAAAATGAGAAAGGAAAATAATAGAAGTTAAAAACTTACTCAATGATACAGTACGTTGTAAATGAGAAAATAAAATAATAGTAATAAAAAATTACTAAATTATGTGATTCAAATCTTATTTATTGCATTAAACTATTAGGACACTTTGAATTGCAGAAGACGTCCTTGCTTTTACATCTGCATTTATTTGTGGATCACTTCCTTTTGCAATGACAACGTGTACAGCTTGCGCACCGCTTTTCGATTTACCTGCAGCTGCTTCTCTCAGCGACATTTCTTGTAAATAAATCTCATCTATGGAAAGTAACTTTTCTTTACAAATTACGAACTGATTACGTGTGTAAAGCTACTTGAGAGTACCGTTTTCGTTTGCTAGTTTATAGAAGTTTATATAGTCTTCTATTCCAACAACAACCGATAACCCATTTCGGTTATTTGTACGACCACGGTCGACATCAGGGACTTGTATTCGTACAGTATCACCAATTTGAGTCAATCGTTTCGACCTACACCAGAGCATATCTGTGATTGTCGACATACACCGGTGAACGTACCTACAAGAATGTAATGCAATCACCGACGTATTTGGTGAATGTTGACATTCTCCGGTGAAAGTCGACATTCTCCAATTTCGGTCTTTCACGGTAACAACATATACATTACATAAATAAATAAATCTACTACTTGCTGAAATCAAGGAAAGTGTTTGAAATCTTTAAAACTGCATTTAAAAATAAAAATAAAAATAAATAAAGTAATATAATCCAAAAATAATTTCGTTGCGCGGAAAAGGAAGATAATGTGCTGTAAAGATTTTTGAAAGGTAAATCTTTTACCAGAACTGGAAAACAATTGTAGCTAGAAAACAAAACTAAACATGTAACGGAGTAAAAATGCCTGGATCCTGCACATATTCCGGGGGGGGGTGAAGAGATCAAACCCTAAACAATTTAATAAGCCACATTTTTAAACTCCATGAAGGTTTCCGTGCTCTGCGAATGCTCCAAAATGGTTTTTCTAAATTAATCTCATATATATATAGGAACACTAATGGCTTAAATACGTAGAATGTTGAATCCGTAATGAACAGCAAACTTGGCAGATGAGGCAAATTAAATATCTTTATTTTAGTTGACATTTCCGGCCAAAATTCACTTGGCGCTCTAATCGTGCCTATTCAAGTACATTTACATTTTTATACTGTTGCGATAGCAGCAGAACAGCGAGGCAGCGTCTTAGCGAGATTAGAGGTAGAAGCATAAGTGCACAGTTATCCAATATGGAAGCTCATCAAGAGAATTTCAGTTCTAGAATCTCTGAGTTCAAGTTCCAAATTAGCTACGCCGTCAGCGTAATGCAAGTCATATGATATGGACTGATCTAGAAGTGACACAATCCAAAAAACATTTTACTATTTTTAGAATAGAGAGGGGGGATACTCAAATTAAAAATGAGGAATTAAGGGGCTATTGCTGATTTAATTTATAATTTTGATTTTCATATTTTTAGCTTATATAGAAGAAAACAGAAATTAGTTTATTCTACCTAATTAGGATGAAGTTTTTTCGGATAATGCATTTTAACCGAACAAAATATGAAATATGGTGGAAATTTTTGGAAATTTAAAATAAACTTAATAATGCATGTAAGGCTGAAGAACGGAAATTGGTAACGGAATTTTAGTATATTAGCATATTATTTATTTCCAATATATTTTAAGTCTGTGTTTAATTAACGAGAATCTTTGGAACTATTGTATAGTTAAACATATATACTATCTGTAACTGGGAGAGAAACACGTCAGCTGTAGAATTAAAATTTCGGTGGATGAAGGTGGCATTTAAATAAGCGCAGATTTTTAATATTAATAATATATATGTGTTACCGTGAAAGACCGAAATTGGAGAATGTCGACTTTCACCGGAGAATGTCAACATTCACCAAATACGTCGGTGAAAGATCGAATATTGCATTACATTCTTATACATTCGGACCCACACCGGTGTATGTCGACAATCACAAATATGCTTTAGTGTAGGTCGAAAATAGAGGTCATAAAGTGTCATAATAGTTTAAGTTGTTTCAATAAATAAGATTTGAATCACATAATTTAGTAAGTGTTTTATTACTTTATTTTTATTTTCTCATTTAGAACGTACTCTATAATTAAGTAAGTTTTTAACTTCTATTATTTTACTTTCTCATTTTGAATGTACTGTGTGTTTTAAGTTCTTATATTCTTAAGGTTCTTATTTTAAGTTTCAAGTGCGTTTTTTCACGACTGAATTACGTAGAAGAAATTCAAAACAGCTAAAGAACGCTAATCCGCGAATTCGCTATAATCAACAACAGCAGTTTTCTAAACAGCAGCAAACGAAGCAACTCCTACAAATTGAGATGTTTCTTCCTTTTATAAGATTTTAAAATCACGCGCTAGAATTTTCCAGTACTTTCTCGAAATCAAAAAAGAGATATTTATTTATTTAATGCACGCGCTCTTTTATTTTCAATTTTCCGGCTTAGCTTTCTTTTAATATTCGTCACGCGCTGCACTGCGCGAGAAATAAAACCATTTAATTTATAATTGAACTAACATTAGCTTTTTAAATACCAAATTCGTAACACTTGGAGCCACCAGTGAGGACAATTGTAATTTAAATTCAATCGCTCTTGGGAGCGATTTGGCAATAACTTCTATTCTTCAGAAGCCAAAAACATTTTGCAAAAGATGCAGGATCCTTCATTTTTACGTAAGGCGTCACAACAACAACGCCTGAAAAGTACTTTATTGGCCCTCCCTTCCAAAAAAAAAAGGATTTTTTTTTTACATATTTGCAACAAGTAGATGTTCTGATTTGAGGAAGTTGAGTTTGATTGGACCTGACTACACTAGCATTCTATTGCTGTCAGTTCATTTTCTTCTGATTGTTGCGGCTAATTCGACATGTGGAGCGTTATACAAATATAAAGCGAATTTTGAAAGTAAATCTTAGCACAAAAATAGGGAATGTTATGGACAGACTTCTAAGAAGTACGTTCAGTCTTTAGACCTGAAAGTGCACTTTACTAAACCGATAAAGTAATTTCAGGGCAGAGGCTAGACAACAGACATTATGTTTTCACTCTTTGAATTCAGCTGGTCTGTTGAAACCTCACGACAGTGCGTAACGGTGTCCGCCGATAACATCGCGGACGAAAACGTCGCGGAGAAAACAACGCAAGGCGAAAACATCGTGCTACAAAACATCGTGGGAGAAATCATCGCAAAGAGAAAACATCGCAGTCCTAAAACATCGTGGTACAAAACATCGTCGTCGAAAATAAAGCGGTTCAAAAACTTCGCAGTTTAAAAACATCGTCGTCGAAAATATCGTGGTAAAAAATAAAGTATCTACAGATCATCGCATGACGATAACATCGCAGACATGCTTTTTCCATACATGGTTTAATAACTGTAAATGAATATTCCCATAAAGATTTGTGAGCGCAAAATGTAAAGAAGGATAATTTTTACTTTCATATTTTTTATTAACTAATAAATTTTTTTTAAAAACGTAAGAAGGAAACTTAAGCATAGAAAATTAAATGCAATTTATAGATTAATAGTTTTCACGAAAATTACCAGTAAAAACTTTATAAAAAATTATTTATTAATGGCCTTTGTTAGTTAACTATGTCGGTTTAAAATTCTATTAATTGCTATAAGTTGCATTAATTTGCTATGCTTAAGTTTCCTTCTTACTTTTTCAGAAAAAATTTATTAGTTAATAAAAAAATGTGAAAGTAAAAATTATCCTTCTTTCCATCTTGCGCTCACAAATCATTATGGGAATATCCATTTACAGTTATTAACGCATGTTTGCGAAAAGCATGTATGAAAAAAGCATGTCTGCGATGTTATCGTCAAGCGATGATTTGTAGATACTTTATTTTTTACTGCGATATTTTCGACGACGATGTTTTTAAATTGCGAAGTTTTTGAACCGCTTTATTTTCGACGACGATGTTTTGTCCCACGATGTTTTGTAGCACGACGGTTTCGCCTTGCGTTGTTTTCTCCGCGACGTTATCGGCTGTAACCTGCGTAACAGTGTTTCTAAAAGTCCCAAGGGAATAACGAGAAACAATAAAAAGACTTAAAAAGGAAACATTGTGTCATTAGCCATCTCTGTAGAGAGCTAAGTGAATGAGCTATTTCGAATATCATGCAGCGAATCCGGTGTTGGAGAACAGCTCACGAAGGACGTATACCAGGCGTTATGTCTCTTCTTAAGTCGGTAACATTTATCTGTTGTAAGTATATTAAAATATTTCCCATTTCCTAAAAACAAAGTATATTGTAGGACACATTAAATCCTGAGCTTTTGTTGGAACCACTTTATTTGTAGAAAAATCACTGGGCAAAAAAATGGAAAAGAACGTAACATCATTTGTCGTGAAAAACAGTAATTGAATGGTTTCGGTTTATTTGAATACGGCAAAATTCTCGAAGGCTCTCTGCCTGACGGGAGGGAGCCTTCGTGGAGGACTTTCTAACAGAAACTGGCTCAAATAAACCTCGTATACATGAATATGCCAATGCAGCAAGGCCATTCACCGGGATTTGAAACCTCCACCAATGTTCAACGACTTTATAGCACCCCAGCTGATTGGCATTGCTGGCTGGGAATTACTGTCAGTAACTAAATCAGACTGTTTTTTGAGTCTGTATTACAATATATTTAAGCTAGTACTTCTTATCAAATATTTATATGATGTTTTGTCTTCTACAGGGCAGTGCATCAACTGTTGATGTGGCTTTGCTCGCGGAAGCTCACGGCCTGGTTACGGATATGTTGGCCGATCCTAATTTGCCGGCCCATGTGATTGGAGGCTTACGTTCGCTCGCCTCGCTTTTGTCACCACCAACACAAGTGGCTGTTAACCACAGGATCCAACGTCCGGGGGGCGCAAGTGTCTCCCTCGCTGATTTCAACTCCGGATCTGACAATGAAGAAATACCGTACACAGGCGAGAAGCCATCAGCGTTATCCAAAGTAAGTAACATCAAACAATCATTGTTATAATTTTAATAACGCTCTGCGTTAATTTATTGTCCTTTTTTATGTATTTGTTGTAAAAGTAAACACGAGCGCCCTTGTTTGGCCATGTACAACATTTTTCATGTCTCAATAAACTCCCGACGCAGCCACTTGGGGCTCCAGGGAGTTGTTGCCGCTAGATAGGGGAGGGCGTGGGACATACGCCTGTTTACCGGTGTTAGACACCACGCGTCCCCGTCCTCCGTAACCTGTAACCTGTTGTAAAAGTTATACAGATCTTGTTGTAAGCTTGTTTAAATGATTCATGGGGTTTTGAAGTCTTTTAATTTCCAAGTTATGGATTGCACTATTAGTAATTACTAAACTTTTTCTAACCGGGGTAGGGACTAGCGGAACGGGCCCTCCGGCCCTCATAGTGACAGTGACTGCTGCACCGAAAGGCCCGAGTTCGAATTTTGGAGACAGCATGGGCGTTTGTAAATGTATAGTGTCTGTCGGGCATGGCGGCACTGTAAATATGCGGCAAGCCGGAAGTCCTCTCGAGAGTTTGAGGGTAGGATAAGAGTGGTGGAAGATCCTCAGATTCGTCCCCTCCGCGATGCTGCCTTCAAAATTGGGGGCGGAAGTGATCAAAATCGTTCTTATCACCTGTATGGTGCTCAAGCCTCTTGCCAACGGCAGGTGCAATCTTGAACTCCTTGCCACTATGTAGCCAGCCCATTCCTGGATTCGAACCTCAGACCGAATTACCATTGTTCAGGGACTTTACCGCTCGGCCGCTGGTGAGCTTGTTCTGATGTTACTGTCAGACATGTGACACAGCAACAAGAACAACAAAAAAAAGTTTTCTGTACGATATCCCGTGGCAGCAATCCCCGTGGATTGTATTCAGTCCCCTAGAAAACTATCGCCCATTCAGCACACACACACACAATTTTCTTGCACCATACAATTTTATTGCACTGCAAGAATAACCCCATGTGGTAAATGATCTCTTCACAAAATTGGTAATGTGAAGTTTACATCGATCTCTTATTTTTCTTGTATTTTTCCCTGAAAAATTACTGCACAGATTATTATATGCATAATAATTGTCGAATCATCATTTTCTTATTATTCTGGAGACGTTAAAAATGTGCAGTGCTCTCGCAAGAATTCGAACTTTGGACCTCCCGAATATGCGTTGAAATGGCTTCCAATTACACCACGAAGGCATGCAGAAAGGAGGAAGAAAATACCTTATATACTCCCCCTTTTATATAGAATACCTTTTACATAGAAGATAAAAAGCTATATACTGCCCCCCTCCTTAAGGGCTACTGGCGATGAGGGGACCTTATCATCATATTCTAGCGTTGAAGAATTATCGTCTACCACCTTTTAGTTTGGGCGTCACTATAGAATCAACAGGTTATTTTCGATGTTGGAAACGTGAAAAATGTGCAAATGCCCTCGCCGAAATTCGAACTCCGGATCTTTCGAATACGCGAGCCGAGCACACTCGGCGTGTCTAGGCTCAAGTCCCGGGGCAGGCTATTGCTCATTTTTTATACCTCCTGTTTCAAAAAGCAACTTAGTGAGGTTTTAAATTTTTCTCAAATTATCAAAATAAGTATGATTGCAAAATTGCAAAAAAGCAAGCAAATTTCTCAAATTATCAAAATAAGTATGATTGCAAAATTGCAAAAAAGCAAGCAAATTTTCTTTGATAATTTTTTAAATTAAAAATATCTTTTGTTGCCAAATCGTAGAATTCATTTTTTTGCTTTTAAATAAGATTAAGTCTGTACTCAAAAAGACTTTCAGTTGGTAAAGCTGCTGCATTTGTTTCTAAATTTAAAAAAAAAAAAAAAATGTTTTTGGTAATGAAAAATCAAAACTGAAAAAATGTATTTTAAGTTTCAACAAATTTAATATAGATTTATATATATATGTGATGTACCAGCTTTTATCCTAAATAAATAGATTGCTGAAGAAATACAAATGTAGTCGTATCTTAAATTATCAGACGATAAGTTTAGAAAACAGGATCCATTTATTATTATTCAGGAGAAATAGCAGTTACAAAATCAGATATCCGGAGTAAATAAAAAGTATTACTAATAACTTTTGTATGAAGTTTACTGCATCGTGGCATTTAAGAAAAAGCCCCGATATTCTTTTGCGAGTCCTTTTATAGCCTCTGGGAAGGCGGAGCTTCCAAGAAATGACGTCAGCCTCGTCAGCCAATTCCAGTTCGCTTTAAATATTTCCAGAACATTCTATAACTGTACAAGTAGAAAAGGCGGGAAACACAACTTGACTACGGGGCTGTCGATTTAAGTCCACGTACTTTCAAATAAGAGAACGTCGCCATTAAAAATGAAAAGAACATACAGTTAGAATTTTAAGTGTATTCTTGACTATTATTATATATATATATAAATATATATATATATATATATATATTTTATTACATATATATATAAATCTAGTAGAGTAGAGGGAGTAGAGTGTTGCCATTGGTCGCTTTTAAATCGTTGAGTTTGTTACTCAAAAGTTCTTTAAAGTTTTACAAAATATGAAATCGATAATAAAACAAATTCCAAATTTCAAATTTGGGATTTCAGATGCCCATATTCGCAGTAGGATTACGTCATTCAAAATTGGATGGCTCTAGGTACCTTTCTTTTATCACAATGCGAGAAGTATAAATACATTTAAGCAGATTTTTCATTATATAATTTCTTTAAATATAATGCAGGAATCTAGAATTTTGTGGCAAAAGTTTCAAAAGTGAAACGATATTTATAGGATTCTGACGCAAAATTCCAAAACGAAAGTAATAGTCCTTCGGGAGGACTCAAATCCCTTTGGACTAAAAAATAAAATAAAAATAAAAATAAAAAAAAAAAAAAAATTACATATAACAAAATTACAATGAAATAAGCAATATCCTTTAATACAAATATTAATTATCCTAATAAGTTAATTAACCAACTTCCCGTTGCCTTCTCTCAAGGAACGTCCAGTATCCAAGAAAAACATTTAATTTAAAAACTGCACAGAATGATCGCTTTCATTTTTCCAAGTGGCAACAGTGCTGATTTTCAACAGTCAGCAGTCCAGTATACAACTAAATGGAAAAATGTTGTCAAAACCACATTTCTAAAAGAATGACGCTAATCAAAATTATGCGATAAATCCGAAAAGATAAAATTTTAAAAAATTTTGATTTGAATTTTTAAAAATTCACTTCGAGATGCACTGGCTATTACCTAGATGCACTATATACCAAATTTTGTAGCCCTGGGTCTATTAGCTTACGCGTAGCATGAACGAAAAAAGATACACAGACTCTTTCTTTTATTACTACTTCCTTGTACGAAGTAAAAAGGAAGTATTGTAATCGCGAAAAGTTTTAGGCAGCATATTTCAGCGAAAATTTTGACCGCTATCGAATGCAATTTAACGATGTTTTTGCGTGATATCTGTACGTAAGGACAGAATAAAAGACTCGTTTCCTGCAAAAAAAATTATAAAACTGCTTTAAAATAAATTCTGAAGAGAATTTTTCATGGCGTCTGTCTGAACGTACGTACGTACCTCGTATAACTCAAAAACGAGTAGCCTCAGAACATTGAAATTTTGTATATAGGACTGCTATAACATGTAGATGTGCACCTCGTATTTTGGTTTGCAATCGCCGCACCATCGTATAGTAAATATTTTTATATATATATCCACCTGTTACCCGGCTCAGTATCTCAGTTTCTTCACTCTTAGTTTGTAAATTGTAAATTTTTGCTTTAAAAAATTATTAATTTGTTTTTATCTTCCAGTTTTTTTATGCCTTTAGTAAATCGTATGCAAAATGTTTTGAATTATCAACAATTTTAAAGTTGTTTTTTTTAAGTGCCGCTAAGCCTAATGTTTTTGATGCGGCCATTGCTTGTTTACATTGAAACAGCAGACTAGTGCATTTGTTGCCAATCTAGAGAACGTGTTTCGAAACACAAGGATAACGCCTTCATTTATTATTGCCAATTAATCATGCTTAATCTTTTTCTGGAAGTTTTTTCGAGGAAATAGGTGTTAAGATTTACTTCGTAACTTTTAATACAGGTATTTTGAAATTCTTATGTATTTTGCCTTGTCGCGAAGGGAGAACTGATTAATTGAATGAGAATACTAAATAGTCTGTGAGAAACTGTTCTTTTTTCTGTTTTGTTTGCTTAATTTCTTTACAATACATCGTTTAAGCTTTGTTTAGTATTTGAATAGAAACATGTGGCAAACGATAATTCTTCAAATGATACAAATTTGGTGCATTCAGAGTGTCCTTATAGTAAACAAATATAGTGATTTTTAAAAAGAGTGCATTTATTCTATTGTGGTTTATGCGCTGTGGACGAAGTAGATTAATTCAATCCAATCATTTTAATGAATTTAAGAAAAAAATGCGTAATGATTTAATATTTTTGTACAAGTAAATCATGTGGTGTACCATCAGATTTTTTTCCTTTTATGTAGAGATTATAATTATACATCTTCAATTAAAAAATAATCAGGAATTAAAATTATAATTTTATTCATTATAATTTATTCATTTATATTACATTATAAATAAATGTTTCCATTTTGTATGTTGCTAAAAACCTTTCTCATAAACATTAGATTTTATTCTGATTTCAGAGGATAGCGTGCACAAGAAACAGAGTAAGAAATTTGAATATCGATCGACTATTAAATTGTTAAAAACCTATTTTTATGAACTTAATCGAGATAGTTTCCTATGCAAAGTCTTCCACGAAGTCATCTTTGTCCAGAGGCATACAGATCTCATGTACTTTGCTATGATCCTGAGAACCTAAAATCGCTACTACATTTTAAAAAAGAAATGGGATTTATTGAAAAATGTTGTTAAAAAGGTCCAGATAAAATGGCTTTTTTAAATGATTAACCGGAAGATTATTTTTAATCCTGAAGACAAATGAAAGCTCTTATTGATCGTT